CACCATCCAGTTTAATTTTGAAAACTTTCCTAAACCCAGGAAAGTCCGTTCAAACTTAGTAACACACTGAGCACTTTACCCAGTGGTCAATCCAGCCTCTCAGGGAATTTATGAAAGCTCCATTCTGTCGGAAGTCCCAATTAATTGAATTTCTGAAGGTCTCCTTTCTTTCAGCTCCTTCCCTATTTGAGGAAAGTCCACTTCAACAATAGTGCTGGAGATGAAATATCGTTCTCAGAAAATGGACTGGGATCTGCTCGTTATGAGATTCTCAACTGGCGTCTGCTCCCCAATTATTCTTTTGTCCCTGTGAAAATTGGTCAAATACATCCCAGAGCTTCCCCAGGCCAGGATTTCACTATCAACGGCAATTCAATCATCTGGGCCACAAAGGTGGGTGTCAGCGCTGCTAATATTGAATATTCTTGCTTTGACAAAATATGCAGAACTGTCTGGTATTTTTAGAGTTAATTCAGATGACAGAGAAAAGGGAGGAGATTATAAGGAAAGCCCGGGGAAAAAGGAACGGAAGTGAATCTTTGCCCTCCGGGCTAATTGGAAAATGTGACTTATGACTGCAAAATAAGGGAGGGTTTAGCAAGAAAAGTTAGAGGCAAGCAAGGGGAATTCAGATTCTGGCATAAACCTCCATGAACAATGTCTGGGAGTTCTTTGAAGTGTTTCATTAGTCGGAACCATGACAGTGGGTTGGAGGGAAATACCCTCAATTCAGGGAAAGACTCTTTCTCTCCTGATTCAATATATATATTGAATCAGAAAATATGGCAGGAAGGCGGTGCAGAGAGTAGTGAGAATGGCTGAAAAGATCATTGGCAGTTCCCTCCCTCCCATCCAGGAGATAGCACAGAAGCGCGGCTTGAGCAGGATCCGTAAGATTATCTGGGACACTATACATCCTCTTCACAACCTGGTTTTCCTTGTTACCTTCTGGGAGGAGGGGTCTTCGTGGTATCCGCAGCAGAACATCCAGACTCAGCCAGAATTTCATTCCATACAGCATTAACCTTGTGAACTCTCAAGCTTCCTCCTTCCGTTATATATTCAAGATGGACAATATTTAATATTTATCTGCTACATATATGTAGGGATGTGGGTCTATACATATGTTGTTCATAGTATGTTTAGGTGTGTGTTCTGTATGTGTTTCACTTTGAGAACGGGCAACTAATTTTCATTTTTGATGTGTGCCATTGTGCCCACAGTATAAAAAGGACAATAAAGGTTATCTTATCTTATCTTATCTATCTTATCTTATCTTATCTTATCTTATCTTATCTTATCTTATCTTATCTTATCTTATCTTATCTTATCTTATCTTATCTTATCTTATCTTATCTTATCTTATCTTATCTTATCATGCAGAAGTCTGATTTGTGCCATGTGCAATAAGGGTTGAGATTGGGGAAAACATCCTGATTGAAAATCCAGGTTGAAATTAGAGGAAGAAACAGTGAACTCTGTGAATCATTCCTCTTCAATTGATCATTATGATTCTTTCTTTTAGAAAAAGCTATATGTCAGATCTTCCCTAGCTTGGTATTCTAGGAAAGAAATACTCTCGACTCCAGATGAAGTGAAAAGATATTTTTTTTCTAAGAAGCCATGTGGTTACAGTGAAGCAAAGCCAGAACCAAGGGTTTGTGCATGAAACTTTCCCAGTTAACTTTTCCCCTTTTTGTTCCTCTCCCCTCTTATCTCTCAATTGTCCAGTTACATTTGCAGAAGGTGTTTTGGTAACTGTCCCTGCAACATCCCAAAGGTGCTTTTTTTTATGAGGCAACTAGACTTTTTTTCTTCTCTCAAAGAAGCTTCTTCAGCTCTGACTGGATGGTGGGGAGTGGAAGGATTTATATTCCTTGCAGACAGCTGGTCATTTGCATTCTTTTAGAGAGTCATTGAGGCCACCTGTGTCCTCAGGGTCACTGAGTGGTGAAAATGGGTGTGGAACTGCTGAAAGGACTGTGTTGTAGACTGGAGGTAGATAATGATGTCAGCAGTTCCAAGAAGTCTCCACACCCTCATTTGCACTACTCAGGTGATCCTTAGGACACAGACAAACCTCCAAATGGCCTCAAAGTTTCTCTAAAACACGGGTGTCAAACACATCACGTCACATGTCATGTCGCAATGCATTGCAACTCTTTTTGCATTGCCGGCAATGGGGTGGGCGCGGCTTCGTTATGATGAAACCAGCCCGCGGGCCGACAGTTTGACACCCCTGCTGTAAAAGAATTACATTGTAGCTCAATGTGAGACACATTTCTTTGCATGCTGAGGTCTCAGTTCCAATTTCCAGCATCCATTGGTAAGTTAGGAATGACACTGGCCTAAATTCCTTAGGACCTGTTCCTGATTTTTGGTAAATCATGGTGAACCATTTATTTTGAATATATTTGGAAGGTGGAAACAGGAATGGGGAAATTAATGAATTGTGTTCATTGCTAAGACCATCTCAAGTCTTTATCTTTTCTCTTTTAGAAGGTGCCCTCTGCCAGGTGTGGCACGAAGAGGTGCCAGGCAGGAGAGAGGAGACGTGTTCCAGAGGGCAAGCCAGTTTGCTGCTACCAATGTGCCCCTTGTCCAGAAGGGACCATTTCAAATAAGACAGGTAGAGCGCACTTTAAATATAGATCTTCCAGGATCAAGTAAGACATTTGGTAGCTCAAAATATTAAGATTATTTTGGGTTATTTTTAGTAGGTTTGACATGATTGAAGATACAGATACAAATTGTCCTGCCAACTGATTAGCAGGACTGCTTTCCTGACCCAATGTTATATAGGGTAGACTTAAGGCAGCAATTTGGAGATTTCTTGCTGTCCTTTCTATTCCTCCTGTCATATACCAATGGGAAAATCAATTACTGATCTTTTTAATGAATTAATAGAGCAGTGTTCATTTGTATTACTTTTAGTGTGGCTCTTCTACAGGGACTATCAATCTCCCTGAAAACTTACAGGCATGTCAGAGAAATAGATCAATTTACCTATATTGGGTATGTCTAGTTTAATGAAAAAAAAGGACTGGAGATGACACGATAGCAGTGTTCCTATATATCTTAGGAGTTGCCACAAAGAAGAGGGAGTCAAGCTATTCTCCAAAGCACCTGAGGGCAGGACAAGAAGCAACAGATGGAAATTAATCAATGAAAGAAACAAGCTAGAACACCGTTCTGAGCGTTCTATGAGAAAAAAAGCCCCGGTCTTTGGCGACCCCTGTGAAACGGTCGTTCGACCCCCAAAGGGGTCGCGACCCACAGGTTAAGAACTGCTGGTATAGGGTTTCCTGCCCAGTTCCTATAAGCATTCTTCCTATGTTTTAACCTCCAGTCCCCTAATCATCTTTGTTGGTCTTCTCTGCACTCTTTCTAGAGAACATTGTTTTTATAGGGTTGGACTATAAGATCTTTAAGGTCCCTTCCAACTATTCTATTCTATTCTATTCTACTCTACTCTACTCTACTCTACTCTACTCTACTCTACTCTACTCTACTCTACTCTACTCTACTCTACTCTACTCTACTCTACTCTACTCTACTCTACTCTACTCTACTCTACTCTATTGCCCCTTCCTGCAAAAATACTCTGAATGCATGATGGAAGAAACTGATTTGAAATAGGGGAAATTCTTTCTCCCTCCTTACAGTCCACCCATTCCACACTAAGTGTGTGAGCCTTCTTGTTTATGCATGTGTGTGTCATGTTATGATTTTATGACACACCAAGCGAAAATCTATCTAAACAGCAATAAGCAGGATCCCTAACTGACAGATTCATTTATCTACTTGGGTTTCCAGTATGATGTGGGGAAAAACATCAGGTACCAAATTCTCCCTGGGAAAGGAAAAGGAAATAATCATGCAAGTGCTCAATGAATGGAAAAGAGAGAGACCCCATCTCTGAGCAAATGAGGCTTATTTTGAATCTATGAGATTTTCACTTTATAGGGCACTATGTTGCCCAGGAGTTCTTTTCACCGTGTCATTTTTTGAATTGTACTAACCAGAAATAGTCAAACTGGGATCTGAGGTGTGGGAGGGGATAAAGCTCACTGTGGATGTCCCAAAGTCCTAAGACAAAGACTCTTGATTTCAGATGCAGCTCGCTGTGACCCCTGCCCAGAAGACCAATATCCCAACAAGGACCAGGACCACTGCATTGCCAAGAAGATCCACTTCCTTTCCTATCAAGACCCCCTGGGATATGCTTTAATTTTTCTTACTCTTTTTCTCTGTGTGATCACATCTGCAGTCCTGGTAATTTTCCTTAAGCATCGTGACACACCAATTGTCAAGGCCAACAACCGAGATCTCACCTACATTCTCCTGGTTTCTCTCCTGCTCTGCTTCTTCTGCTCCTTCCTCTTCATTGGTCAACCCGGGAACCTCAACTGTCTCTTCCAACAAACTGCCTTTGCCATTCTCTTTTCCCTTGCAGTTTCCTCTGTTTTGGCAAAAACTGTCACAGTTGTTCTGGCCTTCATGGCCACCAAGCCAGGAAACAGAACAAGGAAATTCTTGGGAAAACCATTGACCAACTCCATTGTTATCACCTGTCCCCTGGTCCAAGCAGTTCTTTGTATCACCTGGCTGGTGATCTCTCCCCCATTTCCCAACTTGGACTTCTGCTCCTTGTTTGGAGAGATCATCTTGGAATGTAAGGAAGGCTCAGCTTTAATGTTTTATGTTGTCCTCACCTACCTTGGTTTCCTGGCCCTTGTCAGTTTCACAGTGGCCTTTCTGGCTAGGAAATTGCCTGACAGTTTTAACGAAGCCAAATTCATTACTTTTAGCATGATAGTCTTTTGCAGTGTTTGGATCACCTTCCTCCCCACTTATCTGAGCACCAAAGGGAAGTCCATGGTGGCCGTGGAGATCTTCTCCATCTTGGCCTCTGGGGTTGGTCTCTTGGCTTGTATCTTTTTTCCAAAATGCTACATTATCCTATTGAGGCCACATCTGAACTGTAGAGAGAATATAATGAGGCACAAGAACTTCTCACTCATGCAGTAACTGGGAACTTTTGTTGTAAGTTTGGAATCTGTTTAGTTGATCTGATTTCTTAAATGTAAAGAAATGAGCAGGCCCCTTTTTCTTTTAATATTTGGAAATCAAATGATGTAACTAATCACAAAATATCTGCTAATCAGCAATAATCACCCATCCTTTCATTTTTCATTAATATCATTTGTTCACAGTGAGACCCCATGACCCACCTAGAAATAAACTTCAGCATGCTGTTTTTTTCAATTTACTGATTTTAATCAAAATAGTCTTAAAATATTTTGGGTTGGGTTCACTTTCAGTGTTTTTAATTATGTTTGCTTCCATAGATTGTTTTGCTGAGTTTCCTATTTTTCTTTTCATTGAATACGCTATTAGGGTATTTTTAAAAATTCTAGAAATGAACTACATTGTTTACTCTCTATTAACTTCATCAAGAAAATAATTTATTAATATATAAATTTTCCTTGCTTGTTTTTTATGATGCATTTGAGAGCAGTGAATGCTGTTTGAATCTTTTGTCTTGAGCATATCCATTCCTGGTGTGGCCATTCACGTAGCCCTCTTCTGTTTGCATCACTGGCCACAGTAAACTTCATTGTCTTGCTGATCTTTGTAAACAGACCAAGAACCACCAAAACCTATTTCCACAACATTGACAGAATAAGCAGCTAAAATATAAATTGAGATCAAACCCCATTCCTGACTAGCAATGATAATATTACTTAGTTTGTATAATGAAACATCTGGAAGAAAACAACCAAGCTCAGACAGCACATACTTCATTAATAAATAATAATATCATGTGAATTGAATATTAAGGGATCTTTTCCTGTCCCTGCTATTGTTCATCCTGCCAGATTATTATGAGGATAGATCGATGGTGTTAATTAATAGAATTGTTACAAAACATTTCATTTGGGGGCAAAGAGGAAGGAAGAAAATGTTGTGTGATGTATGTAATCATAATACAGAAGAGAGCTGGAAGAGACCTTGAAGGTCCAACCCCCCTGCTCAAGCAGGAGACCCTATACCATTTCAGACAAGTGGCTGTCCAGTCTATTCTTAAAAACCTTCAGTGATGGAGCGCCCACAGCCTCTGAAGGAAAGCCATTCCACTGGTTGTTTTCACTGTTAGGAAGTTTCTCCTTAATTCTAGGTTGCTTCTCTCCTTGATTACTTTCCATCCATTGCTTCTTGTCTTGCCTTCTTGTGCTTTGGAAAATAAGTTGACCCCATCTTCTTTGTTGCAGCCCCTCAAATATTGGAACACTGCTATCATGTGTCACCCCTAGTCTTTCTTTTCTCTAGACTGGCCATACCCAAATCCTGCAACCATTCTTCATGTGTTTAGTCTCCAGGCCTTTAATCAACTTAGTTGCTCTTCTTTGCACTCTGCACTAAGTTTATGTTTCATGAACTTTAAGAATGCTTAGGTTTAGGAGGGGACTCAGCCCT